TAATCGGGACACAGCACAGGAGATCAGGCTACTCGTATATTACAATCATGGCCGGGAGCCATAGATTCTCACTTGCAGAAAGCACTTTTGGATAAAGGATCAATGTATCAGGCCGACTACACTAACATATTCAGCTAACCAACCCCTCTCCCCCTGCACTCTCTCCGCTATTAGGGGGTGAGTGGGGGGGGGGGGTTGTTTTGGTCATGTTTGGCAATCCCCTACTTGATAAACGGAGTCAGAGGGAATATTTTACTTACATTTATCATCTTCAAATGAAAGCTAATGTTACTCCATGTCTGCTTGTAAATATGCCGGTTTTTTTCTACTTTCTACTTTATAAGGCCACATGGACTCACTTTAATAAGGTCATCACATGTCAATGTTTTGCATTCCCCGCAATGGCAAACCAATGAATTAATATAAGTCTAAATTCAAACCATTGACCTAAAAAGTCAAATGTGTACATGAATTGTAGGCAGGATATCTGAAAGTAAAAAAGTGGAAGCTCCTTTAAATTTAAATGGTCACCTCACATGACCACTTTGAGTAAGAGGGACTGCAGTTGACTGGAAACCAGCTGGTCTGTGTGAGAATGCCGCTGCAGGCGTCATGGCAACATGCACAAGGAGGAAGTTAAGAGGCAGCCATGGTGGGAAACTAATCCGGGCAGTGCTGCACAAATCAGCACAGCATGAGATGGCCCTGTGTCACATTAAAACATTCAAAACTTAAATGAAACATTGACAGGCTACTTTTTGTTTTTTACTTTGCCAACAGGTGAATCGTGAATTCGTCAAAAACAGATGGAAGGAAAATAACTCGTAAGTTTTGGTTTCTGGAACAAGGTGTTAAACCTCCTGATTTAATCAACTTCCTTGTTGCTAGCCACTGCAAACACAACTCGACAAAAAGAGAAACGCAGAGGGTACAAAATGTGTTCAAACATTGGAAGAGGACCACTTAGGAGCCAAGGAGCTTTTGTTTGCATTGTATCGCTGGCAATGCAACCTGCATGAAAATTCTCTAAAAGGGCTTCTTGTCATAAAGTTTGTTTCTGAGATGGACAGATGCAAGGGAGTACGTGTTTGTGTGCGTACGTGGATTTACGCGCCGGCTGAGCTTGTGTGCGAGAGAGAGGAGAGAAGCTGGCACTCTGAAAGGGCCAAGAGGGGGGGGGGGGGGGGGGGAACGGGGATAAGAGCCTCTTCAAAGAGTTACCAGATTGTTAAAGAAGCCAGTGCCATTTAGCACGTACACCGGAAAGGGTAGTGAGCGAGAGGGGCTGAGAAGCGGGGGGGGGGGTTGATACTTGGATCGATGAAGATTCATGTCACTTTCGAGACAGCTTTACTACCACATCAGAGCCATAAACGCGCGTTGCATGTCACTCTGAACCCTGAGCTCCACTCCCTGGTGGATGGAACCCACGTCTCTTGTTTCCAGTTGTCTGCTTTGGCAAGCTTCTTTCCTCTCACCTCATCTTCCCCTTGAAATAGGCGAATTGTGTTCAGTTGACTTCCTTGGATGCAACAGCCCTTACAAGTTAATCACCCAGGAAAGCCTCTTAGTGACAGCTATGCCTTAATTGCATACCAGACTGTGCCCATCAATTTGGATGGCAGCAAATCCACACATTCCATCTGCATGGGAATGAGACGTTCTGTCCAAAAGAATGGGCTCTCACTGAGAGAAACCTTCAGCTCAGGAAACACTTATCAGAGAGAGGCATTAGAAAGCTTTGCAACAACAGTCAGAATGTGTAATTCAGTGATTCTGATTAAACACCAAACTTCTCAGATCCCACGGTGCGGCTGCTATGACCCTCTCGGAGGTCTTTTTGTGTTTAGACTCTTCAGCAGCGGCTCACTGCAGGGGCTCTTCAGTCTCCACCAAAACATTAAAGGCAAAACAAACTGACCAGTGTGACAATAAAAGGGGAATGCCGGCGGGGTGGGTTGGATTTGTTTTTGTGTGATGTGACCGTGGCCACTCATCTTCGCTCCAGTCTCAGCTCCTCTGCTCGTTGCATGCTGCGTTTGAGCAGTTTGTCTGAGGAAGCGGGGTGAAAACTCTAACCTTTCCACACAGCAATAACTTCCCACCATGACATCGAACCAACATTGCTTCAGCGTCCCTCAGCACTCGCTGTGAAAATGTCAGACGAGCTCTTTTCATCTCGGGGAAATCCTATCTGATTTACTCTCCCCCTCTTCTTCAGCTGAGGCGCCTGTTTGTATAGGGCCATGTTTCATTTGAATATCAAAGCCTGTGAGGAGGTGGCCATGACACTTTAAATGCCATTTTTGTGGGTGTCTCTCAAGGAATGTGACTGCTTAAGTGTCCTTGACGAAGGGACCTGATCACTGAGACAATGCTTCCTTTGTGGCCGCAGGTTGACGGTAATCTCTATCTATCTACTCTCTGCTCCGTAGGCGAACACACAAGTCCATTTTCATCTCAGTGTGCAGCTCTTTTAGGCAACACAGTTTAAATGACATTTGAGAAATTGTTCTCATTGTTTTGGTCACAAAACCAAACAACCATGGTGGACAATTGTTGTTTAAATAAAAGGTAATTGTTTTTTTTGTGTCTGTAACCCAGGTTATTGGACTGTTAATAGATTGTACAGAGGTTCCCTGAATGCCTCACTGACGTAGCATGTAACCCAGGTTCTTTATTATCGTAATTGTTGCTGGAATCTTCACTCTGATAAATTATAACATCCCTTATCCCAATCACATGTCCATTAGGTGAGAAAAACCACAACTAAGATATTAACTTTCTTCATATACAACATACTCAATCAAAAAATACATTTCATGCTTAAAGGTGAGTATATATTTAACTTGTAAAAGCACAAAAAAATAAGTTTGAAGAAGTGTTTAACCACAACACACTGTGTGAAACCTTTAGGTCTAACAAAAGGTGTGCATGGTTGTTATTAAATATCCAAATTGTGAATACTATAAATCAATGCTTGCAGTCTTCCTGCACTTGTTGGTCATTTTTGCCTTTGCTTGTTTACACCACCAGCTGTCAATGAGTTAAATAGCGAGAAAGCAGTGGTAGGATTGTGTGTCGAATGGTTTGCATATGTTTCTTTAGTGTCTTATACTAACAAGCATGGCCCCACTATGGCTACTTGTGGTCGAAAAACCAGAAAAGGCCCTATTTATTAATATTTTGTTTCGAAACTTGAGACATACACTGACTGAGGACATAAAGGAATCCTGTTCCGCAAAAATAATATTGTAAGTTAGAAGAGCGAACAGGGGGTTATAAAGTTTTTAGAATGTGTGCAATTGTTGAAGACAAAAGAGACTGTCTTATAACGGCTTTGCTTAACCTTATCACACAGCTGTGATTTGCCCAAGAATAAGTTCCATACATATTTTGACTGTATCTCAGAAGGGACTTAAGCACATCCATTGTTGCAGCCCCGACTTGGATTTCTTAATGCGTCTTTATGCAAACAAGATGAAGCCATGAGATAAATCCTGAAAGCTAGCAAACAAAAACATAACTGGACAATGACATAGTGTTCTCATGATAACACTATCAAACATCAAGCTCCTTATCTTCTCTCTCTTCATCCGGGCATGAAGAATCTGCCTGTATCTTCTACTTTCTGCAACAAAAGTGTGGCGTGTTCCTACACTGCTCCTCTAGGTGCCTCTCATACCTCAGTCTGATGAGCGTGGTAGAAAGCAGTGACCCTATCTTGTTATGAACCCTGAGCATCTGAATGAAAGCAACACAGGGATGAAAGTATACAGAAACACGCCACAGTTTATCGTATAGACTGCAGTTTTCCCCTTGCACAGGCATGTTGTGTTTAAATCTGACTTGCAGACAAATACATTAGCTTTACATGGATCCCATGACCTTTTAAGCTCTCTCACCTGGATGTCACTAACACTTTCCCTGAGTTCTTCCTCTGACAGGATAAATGCGTTTTAACATGCAATATCTTCATTGTTTTTTCCCCTTGTGTTTAACTTTATTTGATAATGTGCTGCAATTTGTTTTGTTTTGGCTTTTTGAAGATTAATTTGATTACAAATACATGTTGGCTCATGATGTGTTGTCCTTTGAAGCAAAGGTTTTGATAAAAGATCACAGCAATAATTACATGTATTATCTGTATTTGAGCTGGAATTTCCTATTGGACATGAGGATGAGAAGAAAACAGCACATCTCAGGAAATGATAGGTGTTTTACAATGTGTTGAGAAGCATTTGGTGGTAAGCATATAAGGATATAATATAAGCATATAAGGATATAATAAAAATGTCCACTACAAAACCATTTCAGTTCTTTAAACACAAACATACGTACTTACATACACGTACTGAGCCAGTATTTTTGGTTTTATAAGAAAGGCCACCTAATTGTGACGTCTGTAGTCAACGCACTATAAAGGACTATAATTCCCACGGCGCCTGCGCTAAAGCCACAGTGATGGGCAACCTGTTTGAGAGACGCCGTCGAGGAACAGTTTTTAACTGTACACACGTACACATACAAATCGTACAAGTACCCTTTAAGTTATGAAGTTATATAAGCATTATTAAAAAAGAAAGAATACCTAAGTTGTTTATTATTTAATTTGAGTTTTGCTTATTTCTTTTGAATATTGTAAAGGCCTGTTTTCTTTGTTGCATGTGCAACAGTTTGTTGTTTTATTTTTGAGCAAACACATCGCATTAACATCATCTAATTCTGAACCATCGGAGGCCAAGCAACTCTTCAAACTGTAAGTAATTTAAAGGAAAGAAAACGAGTTAGAAGAACTGTCTAAGGCGTCTAGTGGCTTGATGGAAAGACAAGGAAGGAAACCACGACACGTACATTGGGGGGATTTAAGTGGATTTGTTTCCTTGTTGTGTAACCCACGTTCTGCTGGAATGTGTATTTTATTTATCGGTCTTCAACACCTTCGATGTAATAAGAGGGCTTCACCGTGAGTGGCGCTGTGCTTATTCTCGCGAGATTACCCTACAGGAAAACACGAAGAAGGCGAAGGTCAGTAATTAAACATGGCAGCCCGCAGTATGTTGACCTGGACCTCTTTTGCGGGCTTGAAATTAGGTGCCACAGGCAGCAATGTGATTTTCCAACAGGGGACAAATATTCCCCAGCTATCGGCTGTAACCATCCAGAGCCGAGGCCTCCGTCAAGGTGAGACTAACCTGCAAATGTGTGGATGTTAGCCCACCAATGCTAAAGGAGCTAATGTTAGCTGGCATGGTAACGTGAAGACACTGACAAGCATTTCAGCAGCTGCTTTATCTTTTACATTTGTTTTATTTATCTTTATCTTTTATAGACTTCTATAACTGTGGTGGAAGAAGTATTCAGATGATTTACTTGAGTGAAAGTACAAATACATGAATGATACAATCCTCCATTACGAGTACAAGTAAAATACCTGCATTCAAAATATAACTTAAGTAAAATGACAGTTATCAACAACATTTACTTAAAGTATAAAAATAAATGTAGTTATTCTGCCGAAAAATTCTCTAATAATAAATGTGTGCTTTATTATTATTTTTATTTAAAGGACATTATTAGATAATATTGTTGCATCAAGTAGCATTTTACTATTGTAGATAGACACAATTCTAATATATAAAAGTATTAACTTTATTATATATGTTATAGGTTGAATAATTATACTTTTTTACACCTTAAGTAGTTTATTTTTTAGAGATGCATTATGTTAAAAGTTCTGAGAAGTAGCTAAACGTGTTAAATGAATGTAGTGCAGTAAAAGTACAATATTTACCTATGAGGAATAGAAGTGTAAGTAACATTGTTTGCAGTACTTCAAAATCTTACTTGAGTAAATGTACTTGGTTACTTTCCACCACTGGTGTACAACACAGGAAATAGTCTCTTATTGCAAACGCTAAAATATGAATGAAATCAACCTATGAATCCATAGAGGCAGTCTTCCTCTTGAAATCTTTAAATGTAGTGATTTAAAAAACATGTCTATGAAAAAGGCAAACAAGTCACAATAGAATACACCAGTGTTTCCCACAGATCTGAAATATACTTGGGGGGGTGGTGGTAGCGGGTTGAGGTGACGTGCAACAACATGAACCTTTCTGTTGGTCGCTTGTTAGCAGACCCTTCACGCGATGGCAGAGCGAACAGGTACAGGCAGGGCCTATAGTGATAGCCCTATAGTTTAAATCTACTACCCACAAATAACCATGGGTTACTGTTTTAAAAAAAATGGTAAATGTATTTAGGAACCTATCCATGTGATTCTAAGTGGGGGTGGACCTCAAATCCTCTAGGGGGTCTGGGGGCATGCTCCCCAGGTAAGATTTGTTATTTATTTTGGAGTTAAATGCATCAATCTGGTGCATTTTGAGGGGAAAATAAAGAGACTAGATCTATGGAAACACCTATATGAAACAGAACTGTATACATTTCAATAATCATAAAATCATGGCCATAACCAATAACGTACCATTTCCAATATGAAAAACACTGAAACTTGTTTATTAATTTATGTTTTGGTTCATTCATATTTGTGAGTGTGTCTGGGCTCCTGAATCAGCCTCTCCTCTCTCCCTCCTCTCCTCCCTTCTCCTCTTTGAGGCAGCAGCAAAGACTAGTTTTAGTTCTCAACAAGTTTTTAAAACTTACCTTTTTTCACCTAGTTAACTTTTTATTTTGTATTCATGCATATTTTACTAATCACTCACTACCCCCTCAAATGGGAATATGTGTTTACATAAATAGTGACCAAACCGTTTGAGACCCACTGAGAACTTAGACTAAGTTAGCTATCTAAACACTCAGAGAGTCCTTTACCTCACCTGAGCTGAGGTTCTCCCGAGCTTGAATGACACAGAGAGACCAATCAAGGGCTTTGTTTTATGGTCTGTATGACAGTGGCCATGTCGGCAGGCCACATCATGTAGACAGCCAGTCACCCTGTGTGAGGCAGGCCACTTAACAGGCCAGGCCATCGGGAAACCCCCCGGTCCTCCCGATGGCCAGTCCGGACCTGGGTACAGGAGGCGTAGAGCGAGGGATCATGGTCCACAAGTTAATCGATTGCAGATGGAGTCGTGGTCGCGGACGAATAAAAAAATTTAAATAAAAAAAACTTATAATAAAAATAAAAATAAACTAAATGGGTCGCGAAATATACTTGGGCGGCCGTTAATATACCTGGGCGGCCCGCCCAAGTATAGTCTATGTGTGGGAAACCCTGTACACATACATGTTGATGATATAAGAAATACAAAATGTCTATATACATATGTATGTGTGTATAGTAGGGGTGTAACGGTTCACAAACATTTCGGTTCGGTACGTACCTCGGTTTTTAGGTCACGGTTCGGTTCGGTACGTTTTCGGTACAGCAGAAAAAATTATCACAAAACATAACATATTTTTTTCAAATTATTATTAAACTGTGAATATTCACTCAAATAAATACAAAATATAATAAAAAAAACATTAAGGTGCAGCATTTCGATGAACTGAAATAATCTGTATTTGAACTTTACTGTACTAGTACTCACAAAACATAAACTATTAGTTTTGGGTTTTTAATTATTATTAAACTATGAATATTCACTCAAATAAATACAAAATATAATAAAATAAACATTAAGGTGCAGCTTTTTAATTAACTGAAATAATCTGTATTTGAACTGTACTGTACTAGTACCTAAGCAGCCAGTTTGACATTATGACTTGCTTGTCATTGTATTTTCATGTTGTTTTAAAGAAAGATGAACTTGTCCACATTGCTTGCCGAAAGGGCAGATCTGCTGGCACTAACAATGTCTCCTGCTGTGGAGAACACCCTCTCTAGGGACAGAGGTAGCAGATACAGCCAGGTAGCGCTTTGCTAACATGGCAACATAAGGATATTTGGTGTTTGTAATAGCTTTGGCTCGGTCTGAACTCTCTGCGAGTGGTGGAGGCTTAAATGCTAGCGGGAGTTGGGTTTGCACTTCAGTCTTTTTTCTTTTGGTACCGGTGATATTCACGTTCGGGTGATGCCTTTTAAAGAGTGTGCAAGTTTGATGTATTGCCAGCCGCGTAACCAATTTTAGTTGAACAATGCCGACAAACAGCTTTGGTTCGGTCCACCTGTCTTTGTCCGTCATCCTTGTACGTAACTGCGAAACCAAAATATTCCTAAACCGGAGACTTCAATGATGCTGGAGGATTTTCAGCTCAACTTTATCTGCGTTCGCCATTTAGACAGTTCCTCAAATTACTGACTACATTTGAACGCATCCCTCTGACATAGTATGCCTCTCGTCCAATGAAATGACTTGCTCGCTCTATGACGCGTTGAACACAATGGGAGCAACATTCTCTGAATGCTGCGACGCAGCACCTGAGATTACTTCCAAGAAGTTGTTCACGTTCTCAATTTTTTAAGTTTAACGTTATATTCGTTCGGTACACTTCGGTACACATGTGTACCGAACCGAAGGGCCCGTACCGAATAATTTCGGTACGGGTACGTGTACCGTTACACCCCTAGTGTATAGCAGTATATATTTACATTTACTGGCTGTTGAAATATTTTTTTAACTGATGCATTTATCACTGAAAAGCTGACAATGTATTCTAAAGATTAGGAAGGCATTAAAACATTGTTCCATTTACGTTTCAGATCAGAAGCCTAACATAATTTCATGTTTGTTTTTCAGTGGTGGAGAAGCAGGAGGGTAAAACCACAATAGTAAGTACAACCAAACTGATGATAAACTTAATATGATGTTATTTGCTGTTCCTTCAACAGTTTTAACTGAGAGGCTCACAATGTGTGGACGTTAGGAGACCTAAATCCTGATAGTTTGGACTTGTATTATTCCAGGTTATTTACTAAAACAACAAATTAAAAGCCATAAAGACAATGCTGCTGCTTTGTTATAGTAGTGATATATAGATAATAATAATACATTTTATTTCGATAGCGCTTTTCTTGAACCCAAAGACGCTTAGATGAGAGCAACGCTATTGCTACTTCCAGCCAAAAGTACGGCCCTGCCCACTTTCTGGGGGAAATGAGTTATTAGAGTGAAGCAGAAAACAATAGTTTCTTCATGCCTAAAAGCTGCCGTGTATATTGCACCTCAAACAACAAATACATCTTAAGTTACTGTTTCTTTACTTCCTCTACAAAAAAAGAAACTATCCAATTCAGTAATCACAGTTTTGGTGTAAGCTAAAATGCTACTCATTCACTAGCAGACTGACCGGTCATCCATTCCCTACTGATTTAAATGTAACCATAAATCGTCGCCGATCATCGATCTCCAATAACATTGTTTAATAGTTTACCTGTCTGATCATCATAACTGGGCTCCTCGTAAATAAAAAAAGGCGCGGTTTTATTAATTGTGATTTCCGAAAACTTCAGTATCTGTATTTACCTCCATTCAAATGACAGCAAGTATTTTTTCCCAAAAGGGGGCGTGGTCTTGCGTAGAGGGCAAGTACCAGGATGCATTGCTCTCATCTATAGTGGAAGAGAAAGAGACTTGATTTAATAAAAAATAAAAAAAAATAAAAAAAATGTTCCAACAGCACATCTATATTTTGGTCAACCTAACAAGAAACGTACCCTAACAAATGATTGCACTTGGACAGATTGAGGGACACATACTGAACACTCCAGAGGCTCCAGAGCCTCCTAACCCTGAAGCCAAATGTCCGATCTACAGATGGAACTTGCAGCACAAATACAACTACACGGTAAGTGCGTACACGGTAGTAACCACATGATCTCAGACATTATGAAAAGTCTTTCAGTGGTTTATTGTTTGTGGTTGTCTTTCCCCCTCTCCAGGATGTCCTGCTGCTCAGTCAGTTCATCAGGCCGAACGGAGGCTTGTTGCCCAGGAGAATCACCGGCCTCTGTCTGGAGGAACATCGCAAGATCGCCATCTGTGTTCAGATGGCTCACAGAGCAGGTCAGTGTTTGTGGTTTTAAATCTTTGTTCCATACAAAGTCAAATGTCTTCATTCTTTGATACTTGGTACCTTAGGTGACACGATTGTAATGATTGCAAGATATCTCAGAAAGATAGTGAGTGTTTTAGACGAGACATACTTATGTGTGTAACCTGACACTGACAAGATGGTAAGAAGCCAAAAATCTCAACTAAATACTATTTGTTGGTTGTTTATTACATTATTAAGTATTCAAGCTGAACCGTTTTGTCCATCTTGATGCCAGATATTATTACTATTTCCATTGCTTTCATAATAATAATGTAATATTGCATCGATATTGGGATTATAGGAATAGGTATTGTCTAATATTTTGGCTATAATATTGAAAGTGTGTTTTTTCCCCTGGTTTAAAGGCTTAATTACAGGACAGTGATTTCATTTTCTGAATCAACCAGACTTTTTCTGTTATTTGCCTGTACCCAAATTATATCCACAATACTGGTTATTATTTATTATTTATAAGTATAAAAACATGGCTTTTTTCCCCTAACTTTCTGTGCTCCAGGTCTGCTTCCTGACCACAAACCAGAACCTCCAGCGAACCAGCTCATTAAGAAGCCCAAGCAACAACTGAACAGGTAACGTACACCTCTGTGTCTGCTTATATATGTGTTCCTCATCAATATGTATCCAGCAGCAGTGAAACTAAAACTACCAATGTTTTGTTGTTGTACAGATACCTGACTTGCTGGTCCACTGACTCAGTGAAACCCATTTATAAAACTGGACTAAAGTGGTGTAAAAGGCGCATGGCTGTCGGCAGCCCATTACTCAAGTACAACGTGTGTTACGGTGTCAAGCACATGAATATCAAACACTGAAGGACAGGAAGCCTGACTAATCCGTGCAGCAACTGGACGAAAGTGGGCGGGAGTTCCAATTAGATCTTGCCTTGGGAATAAGGCCTAAAAGCTTCATCCATCTGTATTTATTCTACTTTTTTGTTTGTTAAGCTGCGTCACTCGAATGAAGTGTCCTCAGCCTGACCCAGAACCATCTTTTCTGTTTCTGCTGGTTCGAAAATGCCCTCGAAGTGAACTCTCCGACAACTTTATGTGAACAACAACTGGGTCAGTGTCACAGCTTCAAAGTAGGTGGTATTCTCACTGTGTATACTCATGTGCAAATAAAATGTGTGCGATTACTCAGCCTCTCAACCTGTGTTTACTGTATAGAAACAGCTAGCAACTAAACAGAACCAAAAGCTTGCAGACACAAACTGCATGACTGGGCTTTCTTGAGTTTATTTGTTTGAAGGTAGAAGCAACAAAATGTCCTGGAATAATTAACTTAAAATACAATTTGAGAAATGTGAACGACAGAAGTGGAGAATTTGTAAATATGTGTAAGATCTTTTTATATCATGAAGGGAAGGTCCAGATTCTTCCTGCCATCACCAATATAGATGTGTCCGTGCTGCGGGGTCGTTGGCAGATGGAAGAAGGTCAGGCCGGGCCACAGCAGGCTGCGCAGCACCAGCACTCTGCTGGCACATTCCAGCTGGAGACTCCACGACCCTGCACACAAAGAACACTCCAGGTAAATGACTGACAATAACTTCCACGTCATTTTGAGCACGATTGAAATAGAGGCTACTTTGATCTTTGGAAATCAGAACAAGAAGATTACACTATCCACCTTCTTGAGCCGAGGGATACTCAATACATCTGTGCTTTTTGATATCTCTCACCTGTTTCTCAGCACACTGGAAAAAATGCTGCTCCAAAAACAGTTTTCACTTGAAATAAGTGCAAAAATCTGCCAATAGAACAAGTGAAAATTAGCTTGGTAAGATTTCTTGAAATAAGACGAGATATTTCGATAAATCAGATCTTGCAATTAGCTGGGAGAACTCATTTTGAACTATATTTGACCAGAATCAGGAAATGTTGTTTTGCCGCAAATGCTCAAGGTTTTCTGTTTTCTGATGTTAGTCTGTGATTTTCTAATAAATATGTAAAAATAATGTGTTTCATCTGAGATACAACTCAAAATAAGATTGTTTTACTTAACAAGATGATGCATTGTCTAAACACAAGACCAGATATCCCACTGCAGTGTTACTTCTGAAGTTATGATGTCTTATATCAGACATATTCTGATTAGATATTAGACAAATATACTTGGCAAGATTTCAAGTTTTTGTAGTGTATGTCTGGGTGTGATTATGAACCCAACAGCTCAGGAAATGGAGAACAAGTGCAGCATCTGCTCTGGTGTGAAAGTTCTTAGATGAATGCTTTCGCACCAAGGGATGTGATTTCCAGATACAATTGTTTCAACACTTTTTTTTTTAAATGTATGGCAAATCATGAATCGACTACAAATAAAAACATGTTGAGCCTTCAGGATGTAACTTCAAAGATGAATTGTAGAAAAAAGAATCCATGGGAGAGGTGTAATATCTGGATTTCTTTCTTATAAATGTGTGACTTTAATCCTAATTTTTCTTACAAATGTATGACTTTATAATCTAAGAAAATATACAACGTTTGTTCCTAGTAAAATAAAAAGTTTCATCTTCCAAATTCAGATTTTATTTTCTATAAATATGACCCCTTTCCCCTCTCTCTGAATTGATATGTTGTACCTATGATGGCACTGATACACCTGTACGGCTGCAGGTGGTGAAACCAAAAGCCATACATCAAGAGCTGGGAACAGTTTTCTTCATTGTTGTGGAAAAAAGAGGGGAATCCCAACCTAAGGTCTCAGAGGAAAGCACCTGTCTTTCAGTGGAGATGCATCATAACTCATTTTCCCCAGAGCCCCGTTTTAAAAAAGTAAAATCTTTCTGCATGCGATCTGCCGTACAGAACGCTGCAGTGAGTGTGGCATTGAGACAGCTGTGTAATGTCTGCTGTAGCGATGACACCGCAGACATCCGCATCAACTCAAAGAACACACACAAACATAAACACATGTGGAAGCTCTCCTAAATCAGACATCTGTTGCATGTTTGGTCACGGGCACTAAACATTTTTTCTTTCACACACATCCACTTTACTCTCCATCCACTATCAACATTCACTATGGCCTGGAGCACATCCAGCTCAGCGGCTAATCTCCAAACTTCGACACGGCTAAATTAATTCTCAATCTTCCCTTTTACGGTATCCATTCACATGCTTTTCACAGTATCCATGTTTGCTTCCTGACTTTGATTTGTTTCCACATATGTACTACAGTTCAACAGCTCAAATGTCTCAGCTTCCCATGAGGATTTACAACAGAAACCTGAAAGACTCATCATTTTTTTTTTTTTATGCTTTCAACTACACAAAAATTCAAAAGATTTACCCATCTCAAGGAAGCAAGGCTCTGCATGTTCGTTGTCATACTTTTTTGAGTCTAAAACAATGAAAATGGCGTGCTTTGGATACCAGTTGGCAGCGATTATTTCTCCTGAATTGGCTAAAAGAGGGGTATTATTACTTGAATTGTTGAGGTTACAGATGTAAGCTTTCCCATCAATCATGTTTCAGTTTGGTTTCAGGTGGAGCTCTTCCCATTAACTGGTTCGTGTTCAGCTAGTAATTATTTCATTTTCCTATGAAAAACCCGATGCCAGGCTCAAAGTAGGTGGGCCAACATATTTTCTTACCAAACACTATACTCGCCATCCGGTTATCAGACGTCTGTATGAAAAAGTTCTTCCAACATATTCCCAGGAAGCTTAATCCATGTTGGTTATCCTCAGAATGTATTTGATCAGTTTAACAGTGACTGACTGTTTTCCTGTGAAAATGACTACATTTTGTCTGGTAAGAAACGTCTCTGGACTTTCAGTCAGTTGAATCATCGAAAGGGATTTTTGCTCAAACCACATGTCATTTGTAATGTAGCATAAGAGTTGGAACTCATTGTTTTACCACTGGCTTTCTAAATGCCTCAGTAACACTTACTCATGCTTAAAATAGCTGCGTGTTAATGGGTCCAGATCATGAGATTACCTTTATTCCACTCACTGTCATTTCCTTTATAAAGCTCTTAATGCTCAGTGATCATTAAAGAACAACTCTTGTAATATTGTTGTTTGTGTGTGATGAAAAAATACCTTCACCTTTAGGAATGTCGTCACTCAGTACATCCAGGAAGTCGATGGCTGGGTTTAAATCGCCCATTTCCAGGATGGATTTCTTCTTCAGATTCTTGGCTTTGCTAAAGTGGAGGAAGTTGTCCAGCTTCCCAGCTTCTGAGTGAGAAAGACCTGAGGATGCAAGTAATTGAAAACTGAGAAATGATGATGGAATTTTACAGTGAAATGTTGTCTGAATATACATGTGTTTTTAAAAAAAAAGGCCTATCAGAACTCAAAGTATTGTGAAATATTTTCTAAAATGCTGTTTATCTTATGCATTCAGTTAAAAATAAATGAAACACCTCAGAGTCCGCGACATGCAGCATCAAACATTAATGTTCCACAATGAGAGAGACACATGCCATGTCTAAGACTAATACATATTTACCACCAAAGCTGCGGTTGATCTGGACGAGGCCATGAGGACTCTTGAGGTAGGCGCCACGCGGAACCACAGACGCTTCCTCATCGATCTGGTGAACTGTGACCGCCAGCCTGCTCTCCTCATTCACTTTGGTCTGAAACCCAAAACTACATCATAAAGCTGGATTTTGAGACTGTACCGATATCGTTGATATCAGCCAGGAAAAAAAATGACTGAAAATAGGAAGCTCTGTGAGATTAAATTCTCTTTCCCACTAATTCTTCATTGATTACAATAGTACTTTGTTGCAGAGATGGCTGGCTGGAGATATATGTGCGCCTCAATATATACAGTATGTTGGTAGAGGTAGGACATTGTCATCTTTTGTTGTATAGTTCATGTTGGTCCCACATGGCTTTAGGTATAGTTTTACTGCAATATGTTGTGTTGAATAGTTTTTTCTTTGGAGTACAGTTGGCTGGGCAATATGAAGGAAATGACTATTTTTGACCAAATACCTCATTATCTATATGTGACAACATTGTAGGGTTGACCATTAATGCCTTCAAAAAATGTTCACATTATGAGAAATGTGATAAATAATCATTAGTACTGTAAATTATTGACTAAGTGAGAAAGGGCAGATAATAGAACATCTTTAATGTCTAGTAGTCGGTTCAGAAAATAACACAACTTTACTTTATTGTAGCCTTTAAAACCAGGAAAAGACACTTACAATATTAGGGAATCTATTACCCTAACGATAAAGACAATATCGTATCATTATGTTATTGATATATTATAAATATATTGCCCAGCCCTAATAACAGCCAAGGAATGGAATTGTGTTTATGAAAACACGATTAATATTACAGTTAACACTTGATCTTGAAGTTCAGCTTACCGCTTCATATTTGTACTATGTACAACTTCACAGTATTGATCACAATTGTCTTAATTGACACACTCACCACCACCTCCTCCTGTATAGCATCATCCCTCCCTCCTGGCCTGTGGATCTCAACATGCTCATACACATATGAGGGGTCTCCTACGAAGCTACCCTTTGCAGTTTTGGACACCTCCTCGATCACAGAGTCTGTGGCGGGGGCGAGCAGCATCCAGTCCATGCAGTTGAAGCTGGAGGACAAACGACCAACAGGTACATTACATTGTCAACGGCAGATATAAAGTAGGCCTACTCTGTCCTGCCACAATGGAACACATACCCACGGTTATCTTACCTATAAAGAGTCTTTTTATCCTTCATCTCATCTTCTCCTCTCCCCTGAGCGATGAAGTAATCCTCCTTTAATCCCAATATTTTGCCCCAAAACAAGACTCGATGGAACTTGTAGTTTTTCTTCAGGATGACCAGGGAAGTCTGCAAAGCGGTTCTTTTCTCAACGTTTAAAGTATTTCCGCTACCGGCGACCAGTTCCAAAGAATAGAACAACGAATTTGAGTCCATTGTTTATAAAATAAACCACGTTATATCGCATATATTAGTTACCTTGACGTGTTGTAAACTCCTTGCTAGCTAACATAACAGCTAACCTTAGCATGAAGGTCCGAGGGGGTTTGGTTGCTAATGTCAACAAAGCTTGTTGCTCTGGTTGTCACAGCAACGCCTCAGTTTTCTTGTGCGTGGTCTCTCAGTTTTCTTTTTGCAAATAACCTTTTTAGAGTGTTAAAATAACAGTGTAAAGAGAATCAAAACGTTTTTGTTAACGTTTCGCGCGTGTTTGCTTACAGTGTTTAAATACAAACCAGACCGTGCGCACGTTTAGTCTGACGTCATGACCCGACTTTTGAAGTGAGTCCCAGGAAGGCACTCGGGGCTAGCTACTAAACAATCTATGGCTGTATATGTTTCATTTGTCGCTAAGAGATAAAGTAATGAAAGCGTCCTGGTACATCCCATACAGTAGGCTACTAAAAAACATACTAAAAACTGTTGGTGCATAGGTATACTTACTAACACCAATTATTCATTTCATGTAGTAGTTTGTACATTCACTCAAGCCTACTTATAGGCCTATATACTCAACTACAGCTTTCTGACAGCTTTACTAACTTTTAAAATGACTGTCTTTTTCCAATGTTATGTTTATGATGAACTGGAAGGCATCCTTTATATGTTGAAAACATCCTTTTTAAATAAGCTGGAAAATGCATCGTCCCAAAGTTGAAAAGGAAACTTTTAAGACTATCTTACAGTTAATAAAGCATTTAATATTGTGCATTCATTAAAACATCACTGAAATGCAACAAGGCCCACACATTAATGAGGTAGTAATAAATTATCCAAAAATATCATATAGTAAAAACAGTGAAATTGAAAATTTTACTGCACAACGAGTACTTTTACTTTACTATTTTTCTGATAAAACTACTACTTAAGTAAGGTTTTGATTGCAGAACTTTTACTTTTTGTTCACAGTGTGGTAATGGTACTTGTGGGCTCTGTGTGCAGGCTTCATACGCTGTCTTTCACCCATGAAGCCCAAAGAAGGGGGGGCATGCAGAGGGAAAAGAGAGGGCTGGCAGTTGTGTGTCTTGAAGACAGAATGGGTTAAGCTCTTTGCACAGCTGGCAGGATGCATGCTTCCCTCGAACATGACTGTGTGGCATGTGGGAACAAGAGCGAGTCTCAGAAATGATCTTTGAACCGAAAATCGCCATTTGGTGGTCTGCATTGGGATTGCAAAACGGCATGTTGCCGTTAACCCAAACAGGGAACAAATACATGTGTAATTAGAGATGAAATATAGTGGAGCTAAATCTGTAAAGTTCTCCCAAGGTAACCTACTGCCTCGTGAAATGACCCCGAAGCACACGGCCGGCTGTCATCCTTTGGGCTTACTAGAATTTAGCGCCGGGAAGTGAGAGGAGAATGGCACAGTGTGTGTTTCTTCTAGCGTTGAGGCTATAGATGTGATTTCGCTGCAATGTAAACAGCTGAAACAAATCCAGCATAGGAGAGAAAGGAGAAGGAGAGATTTTCATTTAGTTTAATCTTCATACATACATTTGCCAGTATTTTATTTATTTTCTTTCCCAAGCAGTCAAAAGCTTTCTTTATTTACACATGTATGTCATATCTGATACATCAGCTGTCTACAAATCATACATTTCAATACATATGTGACTTTATTGTAAGAATTGGACCACCATCATGATCATCCGCTACCCTTGTAGTATTCGACCAAAGAGTTTTCCTCTTCCTCATGCTTCATGTTCTTAAGCTGATCTCTTCTTATTAAAACTTGCTTGGCTCATAGTGGTGATGTAACTTCCTGAACTCCGTGGTATATATGTAAGAACAGACTGAGTAGTACTAAAATCACTGGTTCCTCTGTTTAGAAGACACTGAACCGACAAGGGTTGTGCGGTTTATCCTGGCTGGGATCCAGCAGCCCCAGTCAGTGTACGCTGTGTGAAGCTGGCTTCAGTTACACTTAGAAAAACATAATTGGCTACTGTCCAGCAAATGATTGTGCTAGTGTTGGGCTAATCTTGTGGTTAGTGATTCTATTTTGGTCTCCCACCTTGATTGACAATCTTGGCTTTGACTTCAATTGTCTCTGGGTTTCTGAGTTTGACAGAACACATTGTAAAACATGGCTGTCTTGTAATTCATGCTAGTTGTTTGTTTTATAAATCATATCTTAATACTCATTTCCTAACCACTTAAAGTCAAGATTAAATGATCTCAAACCCTGTTTTTGATACTATTTAGCTTTTCTACAATTATGCGTAATAACATGTCTTTTAAAGCATTTGTTTTTTACTTTCTGGGTCCACCTGTGAAATTGTTTTCACACACACATGTGATTCACAGGATAATAGGCATGCATATCCAGCATCACTGATATTGGCCGTCTCTGTTTACTGCTCATTCACCTCACACTCTATCAGAGCTGCATAAAGTGGCTGCAAATCCATTATTTCCATTTCCTACTGCCGTTGCATCCGACCAGCCAATTCAATGTGAAGCGTGCATTGTTTCCTATGAATAACTTAGGCGTTTGAAGGCAATTTCAATCCAGCTTGGGAATGGCGGTCTCGGCCACCAACAATGACAACTACTGTCCAAAAAGGTCATTACAGAATGCAAATACATTGAATGGGAAGTGTTGAGACAAAAATCGAATACATTATATATCATATAATTGTATTTGATGCGGTTTCTCTGGAGAACAGAAGCTGGTTTTAATAATTCCCATTCCCATGCTTGCCATTTCCCATGCCACACTGCTATTCCCGGGCTCTGTGTGTTGGCTGCGATTGTCCAAACAAAAGGACCTCGGTCTGGAGTCACATGCTTCATCAGCAGCGGTGATTTCAGCTGTCTGGCCCTCCGCCCTTCTGGCTAATGTAGTCCACCAACAGAAAAGCGAGAGGAGAGTGGGGTGACTTTTCTACAGAGTGTCCCACACAGAAGAGTACACACAAGGACAGCCCCTTCACCAACCCACCCACTTACTCACACACACAGACAAACACACTTTAAGCTTGTGGCTCAGGATGTCACCTCATTAGAGTTGGCATCTAAGGTGGAAGTTTTGGAGTTGGAAGCCACAGAGTGACCCGAACCGACACACCACTCCAGTTCTGTTCCCCAATTGGCCGGGGAGGGAAGCAATACTTGGACTGAACGGCCTGTTTCTGTCCCGGTCCCACTGCCTTGGGAAACTCACCTCCCAGGCGACCAGCGTTGCCATGGCACTAATCCTGACGGACAAAAGATGGGAGTGCCACGGAGCATGATGCTGCCAGACACTCTGATTGGCTGGCACCATCCCACGCGATGCTGTGATTGGCCGGTGCTATGTTTATATACAAATTGGAGCAGTCAGAGGTCACATCCATCGATCTTGGTGGTGACATGAAGGAAGCCTGACCTCAAAAACCTCAGAACTCCAAAATGGGGTTTAATTCCTTTTTGACACACACACACACACACACACACACACACACACACACACACACACACACACACACACACACACACACACACACACACACACACACACACACACACCACACACACACACACACACACACACACACACACACACACACACACACACACACACACACACACACACACACACACACACACACACACACACACACACACAGGCTTTTTATTACATTCAGTGGCCTGGGAGTGCAGAATTAAGTGAATACTGAGAGGGAGTGAAGTGACTAAATAGTGTCTGTGATACACAAAAGCACAGACGACAATAATACCAAGAATGCATGGAGGGCACTGGGTTCAGTGGGTTGCACACCTACACACAAACAGAGGTTTTGGATTAACACGGAATAAATATTTTGATCCGGAGAAGGGCGTGTTGTGTAAACTAGTAATGCTTTAAAGACTCAATTGTGTGTTTCCTTTGACCTGCATGGGAGCCGAGAACTGCTTAAAAGAACTATAATTATCATCAATAGGTTTAATCTGTTTTCCTCACATTTCAAAGCCTGATTACTCTCCTAAATGTGTGTTTCTTGCATCCATATAGAATCCATGCTTTCCGTTTAGATTAGCTAGATTAGCTACAAATAGACAAATGTATAGATAAACTGCTATGCTATCAATGCGGGAAAGTTTGTTGCTGTTGCTCTGTGAATGTTTCGGCCAATACGTAACAAGAACTGACAGTACAGATATGAAAACAAATAGTTTGAGCTCATTTTGACCGTTACTCATTGATATTTTGTCATTTGTTCGCTTTAAAATCCGTACTTAAATAGGCACCCTCATGTCTGTGCGCTAAATACCAACCTACCACCATCTGCCAGATAGCTTAGTTTAGCACAAACATGGGCAGCAAGCGCTAACAGAAGGTATCTAAAGTTTAAATGATCATCTTGTTGGTTTAATCTGTGCACAAATATATCCTAGCTGTAGCTCCACATTTAGCATGAGTGGTATCGGTCATCTAACCTTACTTTCGGCGGGAAAGCAAATAATAGTATTCCTTTTTAAAACACTTATTTTTAAAACTAATTTAAAAATGATCTTGTCTGTAAATCTTCTGATAATTTCCTTGATTGTTTTGGAACAAAGTGACATCATTTATATCCCAAAAACGTATTGGAAATGATTAGAAAGGCAGTGATATGTCAAGTTAAGCACTACCAAACTCATTACTGCTCATCCAGGTTATTTCAAATTACACTTGAGAGTCCATTTTCTTTTTAAAGAAACGAGCAGATAGGGCATTGTGTTTCCGGCATTAACTAGGCAAAGACATGCTATCTTGTCCGATGCAAGGTCGAGATATCTCAGCTCTGACGCTTTAAATTTGACCATTTTCTTTAATATAACCCTTTTTAAGTTAGAGGAATTATTGAGGTGTCCAGGTGAAGAGCATGATATTTACATCTGTGAGAACCTCTGAGAGCTGCTCGAACTCGAGAAGCCACAAACTGCTCCCAGTCTGCATGTATATGGATCAAACTTTCACACACCCATTAGTAGAGCCTAGAACCATGTGGGCCGAAACTGAGCCAGTGGATTTGTGGTGTGTGTTAAACATCGGGTCAAAGAATGGGTTTTGCAAAGCTGCACACTGCAGTTATGGCTGCTGCTGCTTCCCAGGCTCCTTCAGCCTTAACGTCCACATTACTCCTGTCCAGCTGAACTCACGAGATAGTGGTCTTTAACAGCAAGTGCATTTAAAAACACATTCACAACATACTGTACAGACAAGGTATCTGATATCAAACACTCTTCTCTTTCCCAGCTCATC